AATATGGCAACATAGGTATTATATTAAATTTACAAGAAAGAAAATCCAGAAAAGATCCAGTGATTCTCAAAATTTTAGCAAAAAATCATTTTTTTTGGAAATTTTCAAAGTAAAATAACTCCGTTATTTTGGACTTATTTGAAAAACGATAAAGAGAAAATATGTTTCTTTCATCCAGATCTGCCACCCCTTAAAATACTTACACTTATTTCTGGGACACCCTGTATAGTTAAACATACTATGTATCACATTTTGATTTAGATTCGGTGATTTAAGCAGTTTTTTAAGCAATTTTACCATGAAATAACGAGTGAAATTGATTTTTATCACCTACAAGAGAAAATTACAATCTTCAAAGAAAAAACAGTTACAAGTTGTTTCGAGAGCGATAAACTCTTTTGGCGTGCACTTTAAAAAAGCGATTACATCAAACTGTCAAAGATTACTTGTAGGTACCAGGAAAGAAGTATGCTATATTGATTTTTGTGGTCGATAACATCTTCAGGCTTACTAGTATTTCTTGCTATATTCCTTTTAACGTGTGGTAGTAAAAATATAAGCTCTACCAGCTAGATTTAGGTCGATAAGGCACTGTTTTAATTATTTGTTACGGTTTCCAGTTTCTTTTATGGTCTATGTTTAATGTTGGTGGGGTATCTGACTTTGTACATATACTGTATACTATCAAGATAAGAAAATCTTTTAAAATATTAATTTTTGCAGGCTTAACATGATTAAATTAGCAAATTTAGGTTAAAACAATGATAAAATAAAAAGGAATTTTTAAGTCGTCGTCTGGTTAAATACAATCAGCTGATAATTCAAAAGTTACTCTTAAGAATATTATTAAAACACAGTGTGTTTGTTAAGATTATTGTAAAGACATAAAAAAGTAATTCTGGCTAAAATTACCAGAATACGAATTAAAGTAAAAGATTGAAATCTTTGGAAATATGGGAGCAAAAATATCACTAGTTTATAGCAATACACTAAAACATTTTAATAGCAAACAGGACTGTATTGAGTGTAATAAATATTCCTAAATTTCAAATACCGTGCTGGCAACTGTTACTTTTGGGTCGGCATTTACATGTGTGGAAGTAAATCGCATAGGGATCTTATTAAGTCGGAGTGAGAGAAATGCGACCGACCGACGCGACGCGCGACGGTATGCTGTTGCGGCGTTGCCGATATGCCTTTCCCTATCAAGTAAAATAAAATCACGATCGCAAACCACTTATTTTTAAAATACTTTTTTTTCAAGAGATAACTAGATAAAATCATTAGACATGTTTCTGAGCATCTGAAATGGAATTATAAGGATATCGTTAGGGTGTCATTTTTTTTATAACGAGAAAACGTCAGTAATCGCGATAATTGAAAAACTCAACTTTTTAACACATAACAGGCCATAACTCAAGAACCACTTTAGATATTGAAACTTTTTTTATTTTTAAGATGGGATATTTTACAATATGTTTACATAAGAAAAATTCGATAAGGTTGTTTTTTCCATTCAAAAATTGTAAACAATCCATCCATTTACTTTTAGAGCATAGCAATTTTCAGCAATCGTGTAATTTTTTATTGATAAAGATTTTCACATACTGTCTACAAAGAAAATACAGCAGAAATATTAACAAAGTTCTTAAAAAAACTACAATCTATTATTTCTAATAGATTTCAAGATATCGATTTTTGAATTCAGAGTAGAGATGAGCAAAACTGCGATTTTCCAATCGCAGTTGAAACTGCGATTGTGATATATAAATCGCTGCGACTGTAACCTGCGATTGGGATTTTGATATTTTTAAATTGGTACGCTGTAATCTGGGAAGCTCAATCCCAAAATTTCTAATAAAAAACAGAATAAATAGCGGAATATTTTTTTTTAATAAAAACTTACAAAGAAACTGTTGGGTGTTTCGATGCCATGTGCCTTTTAAAATTTGTAGTGCGTGTTTTTTTATGATATTTTACCTGAATCATTACCTGGGAGCAACTGTAACTATAATTAGTCATAACCGAAAACAAGAATTTTTTAACCTTCTCAATCCATAATTATATTATAAATCTAAAACTATTAACAAAATTTAAAACTAATAAATTATATATATTATGCGGTATATAAAACATATATAAGCCTATTTTCCAACGCTTCATAGAAAATTACGGGGCCCTGATTGCGAATGTGATTTTGCGATCTAGTCTAGGCCGATGTGTTGGGAGCTGCGAACGAAAATCGCAATCGCCGCTCTTCGTTGGCGTGCCCACTCCCGATGCCGCGCCGGTGCCAACGAAAATCGCAATCGCAATGCTGGGATGAGCTGCGATTTTCGTTCAGCTCCTCGTTCGCCTGTCCACTGCCGTGTTGAAGACGCGCCGCCGGCGCCGGCTGGAGCGTACGAGAATCGCAATATTGCGATTTTCGTTCGCAGCTCATCGTTCGGCTTCTCAGTGCCGTGTCGATGCAATGCCGGTGCGAACGAAAATCGCAATGCTGTGATTTTCGTTCGCAGCTTTTCGTTCGCGTGTCCACTGCGATTGCAAATCGCAACTGGGGTAATATTGGTTGCCTAAAAATCCAAAATCGGCAGATATATGTTTCAATCGCAAGTCGCAGTTTGCTATGGAAAGGAATCACAGGTTGCGATTGTGAATTTACAATCGCTGCGATTAAATCGCAGTTTGCGATTTTCTGCTCATCTCTAATTCAGAGCTTCTAATAGCGCGACCACTATCGAACACCCACTCAATTCCACTTATTTTTACCAAAAATGCAAGTGTTTCTAGCTTGCACTTAAAAAAAATCAAGCTATAGGGAAAATTACAACGACTCGTTAATAAATAAACAAATTAAGTATCACGAGACGTAATTAAATCGTGAAGCTGAACGCATGACGTACACCTTTCCCTAGAACTTTAAGTACTGACCGAGGTACTGATTGGGTCGACCGGTCAACTGCGACAAATCTGCTCTATCCCCTTCCACGTCTCTTAGCGATGTGCACAGTTTCTCGGTTTATTTCATATGTTTGGCAACGTGCTTACTGTCCTCTCTTTGTTCAGTACATTATAAACGCCATTGTACTCTTCCTACATACGGAAATCTCGACCCAAGACTAACCTTTGCCAGCCCTTAGTATTAGTGATTTATTGTTATAAGTTTTTGTTGAATTAAGTCAAAGTTCTAAAATCAAGAAAGTCCGAATATCTGACTTTAAAGGAACTTTCAGCTCATAACAGAAACTTTCAAATTATATCAAGTCTCAGGCTAAGGTAAATAAGGATGTGAAGTCAAAATAAGGTATGAAACCTTATTTTGACTTCTCTAAAAGTATTCTATGTTGTTTATTTTTAAAGATTGTTTTTTAAAAATTACGTGAAATATTTTTTTAAATGTACTTTGAAAAATGCATGTCATTTATAGGGAACCTCTTATACAGGGTGTTTCAGAAAACGTGCCATTTCTCGTGGGGAGATTCCTCACGTAAAAATTAGATTTCGGTTTCCTTGATGAGATAAACGCAATTTTATTAATTTGCATTGACTCAACTCAACTATCAACCTTTAAAAAAAATAATATCATTAACATGAGAAAGTTTTAAATAAGTACTGATTGATTCCTCATCAAAAAATATGAAAAAAGGAACTTGGCACTAAAAGCACTTGGAAGAAAATTATAATAAATCGAAAGATTATTCAGACTTTAACACCCTGTAGCTACGAAACTAAGCAGAATCGGACCTATGTTGATATGAAAAATAAATCTTATTTTTACGTGGGGAATCTCCCCACGAGAGATGGCACATGTTTTTCGAAGCACCCTGTATAATCTATTAATAAAAGCTATCTCATAATTTTCATGAAATATGTCGCCTAGTTACTATTCTACACCTAAAATGACACATATAGGGTCACTAATTCGGAATTAATCTAATTAACCCAATTCAAAAAAGGCCGAGACAGGAAGGTGTAGTCGAAATTTATATGACACCACAGCGATATAAACGCACATTATGTAAGACCAAAATAGGACAACTTGAAACCAGCTATTTTTTTTTTATTGTAGCACTGATATGTAGTCTGTACTAATAAATTTTGCATAAAAAATAGACCAGTTGTGTGTTTTCCTCACACATCACATTATTTTTCCTAGTAGTTCAGTATATCATAACCGTTTTATGTTTATACAATTATAAAAAAAACATATTTTTTCAATAGCAACTGTTAAAATTGTCTTGTACTCGTATTTATCAAAAATTGTAGATAAAATAGTACTTGAACCGCAAGGGTAGATTAAATGATACTTAACAGCGAGGATAGGTTAAAAACTGTATTTCTTCTCGCACGTTTTTTAATGGCTGTATTTAAACTGCCGTTAAACGGTAGCCTACTGAAATGCCGTTAATAGGTATGACGTCGTTGATGTGACGGCTTTTTAATGGTTTGCCGTTAATCGTTAATGCAGAGTAGGCTACTGATTAATACTTAATAATTTGTAATGTAATGTTGTCCAAAATCCGTCATGGCTTATTCTGAATAAAATTAACTTGGAACGCTGTTTATGTAGGTAGACGTATATGTTGCCGTTGTAGGTTTGAAAATGTATTTGCGATAAAATGTAATATATGGCATTGGTTTTCAGGTTTTTATTGCAAATTATAAACTGACAACTTAATAATACTACGTCAACTTAAAAATAATAATGCTACAGATAGCATTCTCTGCAAAACCACAGTTTTGATTTAGGTCGCTTAGTCAATCCTGCACAACGGATATGTCTCCATAGAAGGCATCTACTGCAACAAAGTGACATATGATTTTTCTGCGTGTCTTCACTGCACACAGAACAAAACCAACTTTGTTGAAGTCGTTTCTGCTCAACTAGATTGGTTATTTTTTCAAAGGCTTTCTCGGTGCAAAACTTCTAAAAATCGTAATTTACATTATTAGTTATTAATTTGGTAATTATTAGGTATCGCTAGACTTACCTTATCATGTGGATATCAACAGCCTCATCAAGAACGGCATGTGATATTTCTTCGGGGAGCATTTTAAGGTCTACAGTTTCAAGAAATTTCCCATTTGTGATGTCTCTAACGATGTTACGATCCTTAACGAAGCAATTCAGGATTACATTTTGTTTTTCATGATAGAATTGTTTAGCAAATGCTACAGTACATCTTTTCCTTTTCTTTGGTAGTCCTATGACTGTTAAGTCCTGTCCTTTTGGACGTCCTTTATGAGAAAAACAGGTAATCCTATTTTAAGTAATTTATATGTAGCATCTACTGCAAGAAATTCTGGAAAAGCCTTCATTGTACTTTTCATGGTTGGACTTTGAATGAAAAGTCCTCTGAAATTATTGTCTTCGTCTCGCAAAACAGCTACATTGGCACCTGAAAACAGAGTAGTTATGGGGACTAATAAGACGATAATAGAATATTTTAGTTTACCGTATTTAGCTTTAAGTATATTTAAGCAGCCATCTAAGTTTTTTTTCTTGATTGATCGGATACTTTCTTCATATTTGTTAAATCTTGTAAAGTAATTTTTTTACCAGTACTTTCTTGAACTTTTTGTTGTATCATTTTTCTATTGGCCTTCATATTCAAATAATCCTTGACGCTTTCCTTCATGTTACTGGAAAGTTTTCTTTGGCTAGGGTTATGTGCATGTAGAACCTACAAAATATATCTTTTATGAATAAAATACTGTTCAAGCAAGAATTCTTAAAGCATACTATATGTCAACTAATCTGTAAACTTACCTTCGAAGTGACATGATTGTGCTTCGTTTGAACCGATGTTACCTCGAGTGCTTTTCCATCAGACGATGCTTTGAATCTTACATGTACTGGGCAATCTTCTTTAAATGTCAAAGACTGTCGATTTTTTTTCCCACCGCCCTTAAACTTCTTTCCACCATGATTACATGCATATAGAAGTTGATAATAAATCAAAGAGCTTTCTATTGGTCTCACAATTTTACTGCTTGCAATCGTACGGGCATCTCGTTTCCAAAATGTTGTGTACGTATTTTCACCAAGTTCCCCAATCGCTTTCTTTGCGTCAGCGAATGAGCTGAACCTATCCCCAATTTTCAGTTATGAAAAATAATTAGGTACCTAACTAACCTAAAAATGTTTATAGATAAATTAACATCAGAAAACTAACTGAAACACTTACTCCATCCTGAACCCATAATATCCAGATGTACACCTTAATTAAAATCAACTTATAGCGCTTAGCACAAATTGTTACTACAACAATAATGCAAACGCAACCAAAATACAAATTGATTAACGGCATTTTAGTACGCGACCGTTCGACGGCATTTTAACCAAAGCATTAAAAAGCCGTCAAGTGCGTCACATCAACGACGTCATATCTATTAACGGCATTTCAGTAGGCTACCGTTTAACGGCAGTTTAAGTACAGCGTTTTTTAATTGCTTCCATTTTTGAAAATTTTTGTATTCCTTTTCATAAGTTATTCGGGATTTAAATGGAAGTATTTTGGATATGGCGTTTGTCGCCTCAGCCTAAATATCTGTTGGTAATTTACTTATTTCGTTTTGAGGCATTTCTGGTTCCAGTTCAATCAGCAATCGACACGAAAGAGAATTAAAAAATATTGACTCAAAACTGACAACTAAAGAGACAGCTTTATTTATTTGTCAAATAACATAATAACAACGCCAACGATAAAATTGCATTATCGACTCCCAAAATTAATTCTTTTCGGTCGTCTTGTATAAAAAATAACTATTTACTTTTTTGCGAACTAATTTTATCATTTGGAAACTTTTATCAAATTATATTTGCTCATCATACACTTATACACATATTAACTTTGGCGAGATTGTAACTTGTAACTGTTGTGGGTACTGTTCAGCATCTAAGTGACTAATTGCAAGGCTGGTACATTTCCATTGAGCTACTTAGACCAAAATAGATAAAAAATATCTTTTTGTTATTAGGTTTTAACCAACTGTTCAACCAGACGATTCTTTGACTTAACTGTTTCTAAGAGGTCCAAGAAGATGCTAATAACGTGGAATATTTCTTTCCTTGGTCTGTCTGTGAAAAACTACATTAATTTGAAATTAATAAGCACCAATATAAAGACGATTTATTTTAAATAAACTTATTCATCGTTCGTATAGACGTCTGCTGTGTTATTACCCTACCAGGAAACCTATAGTTGTTGCAGTAATTGTTTGAGTTTGATTAATGGATCTAAGCCGTAAAATAACTTTCCTTTTGAAAGCCTGCCTATATAGCCAACATATGAACTTCTTACTATACCTTTAATTATTATTTTTTCTTCGACAGTAATAAATTTAAAAATATTATACAAACTCGGAAACGTTGGCTTTTACATTGTTTTCATTTCATTGAAGTAGAAATTAAGAACTGAAAAAGTAAATTGATTGGATATGGTCAAGGAACAAAATATCTAAATATCTACGAATCAGTCAAGCGTTTTTACTCAGCATTTTAAAGACCATTTTACTTGTAGGACGAATACAGTTGAACACGATTTAATTTCTTTTATTTTATGTCAGTAGAGGAATTGGTGAAATTTTCTTAAGCCAGTATTTTTTTTCTAAAGATAAAATAAAGAAGGTCACTACAAAGTTTATAGTATGTTATACAGGGTGGTCCGAGTTGTATTCGGAAAATAAGTAAAAAAAGTTCGTATAAAAATGTATCTCCTAAAATGATTTGTTTCGGAGATATGCATGGTGTAGAAGTTTCATTTTTATTTCGATTTTTTTCCCAATAATTTTTGATCTAACGCCGATATTTGGATAAAAATAGGCGTGGCGGTATTTTTTTAAATAAGAAATTTGATATCGATGTCAATATGACTCCTTGTAGGAGGCACCACCTACATGTTTTTCAACTGTTTTGAAGAGTAATAACTTTTCGTCCCTACCTGTGTCAAAGAGTAGATAAGACAAGAGACGACAGTTCGCGCGGTACCTTTCATGTTTGAGTGGTGGGGAGAGTGACCTCGTCTCGCTTGTCCCTTTAAATTTTCGTAATTTTTTCGCGGGAAATTTGAAATAGACTATTATTAAAACTTACCTGTATAGCTTATAAATAGTTATACTGTATGGGTAAGGAAATAAATAGAAGCGAAAAAAAATGAGTTTTCTAAATATTATATAAAATAAATTATAATTAGAAACATATTTGTCGGGGGATAAAGATAATAAAAGCAATATTTTGTATATCGTTGGTAAACAAGATAAAGTGACCAAGTCGATTTGTAAGAAATGTTTTATTTAATTATTTACGTGTATTTTTTTTACATATGGACTTGAACAAGTGTAATATCACAATGTGGAGTTTATGTACAAAAAAATAGAGTTGCTAAATTTTTTTTTTGTAAAATTATATTACAAGCTTCTAACCATGTCTTCGATCTTTGGAGGATCCATACTTTTCAGGATCCTTTGAAAAAGAGTGAAATATTATGTTTGTCAAAGAATAAGATCTATTTTTGCAGTCTTTATAAGCACACACATTGCCACCATCTCGTCTTTTCCTGCTACTCGTGTCCTGTTCAGTATTCATATTTAACAATAATTACAAATTAGTACGCAACAAAAACGATACTAAAATTAAACCTTAAAAACTCTCAAAACGATAATATATCGAAAAACTCTTAACACACTTTAAAAAGGCAAAAATGCAAGAAAACAACTAATAAGATTTGTTTATGTTTAAGCCTGATTAGCACAGCTGATTAGCGTCCTAAAATCATAGGTTAGAAATCGATCAACTTAGTCATTCTGTTTCTATGATATTATCAGTACATTGCGAAAAAAGAACCTAAACCAACCTAAACTAAAAATTTACATTTCCGTATACGTTTATACATACGTTACTTATTCCTTCTTATATTATTAATTTATTTTCAGAAAATTTTGTTTATTTTTCAAAGAAATATACTTGGCAACAGACAATATGGGACTTGATGGGACCTTTAAATTTTAATATATTTGCGTCTCTCTCGCGAAATTCGACTTCTTTGTTCACTGTCGTCTCTTGTCTTATCTACTCTTTGCCTGTGTTAAACTACTGAGTGATAAAATATACATTTCCACCGTTTTTTTTTTACTTAAAAAATGTCTCTTGTAAGAATTGTAACGAGTAATGGTACTTAAAATATTTGGAGTCGAAGTAACTAGTCGGTACATTTCAAAATTGACAAAAATTATACATGTTGACTGGGTAGTTATTAGTCTGAAATAATAACTTTGAATTGTTTTTGAATGTTTGGTTAAAGGCAATAAAGAAAATCTATATTTAAATTTCAAAATAGAGGTATTAGATAACTGAAGCACAGTTATTTTTATTATAACATTGTTCATTTAAATGCAATTCCTTCCTTTGCTTTGTATTTTTATCACCTCGACTCTAGGCAGTTAAAATTCAATTTGTCCAAATTAAACAACTAACATTTTAGGACAAATAAAACAGACGCGCACTTGGCAGTCGTTCGATAACAGAACACTATTACTTGAATTCTGCGAAAACAGTTAAATCTACAGGCAATTAACCTAAAGAAAATTAAGAATTTATTGTTATTATGTTTATAAAACCAAGTGGAAAACAGCATGTGTTAAAATTGGGGAAAATTGTATACCACATAGTCTTTAAATTTAAACAAGGATGTAAACGATAAAACGGTATCTCTGAAACATATATTATGTTTCATTAGTGAAACATCGATAATTACAATCCAAGTTCTATAATTACAAAGTATCGATATTTTTCTAAAGATGTTTTTTACAGAGTCATCTATTTTAAATTTTGGTTCTTCTAAGTTTACTACGTGACATCTTTCTTTTTAATGTATCGATACATGTTCCTTATTACGATGTTTTTATCCCAAATCTTAGTTTACAACTGAACTTTTCAAATAAAATTCCAAAGGTTTTAAAAGAATAGCTAGAACTATATTTGGTCGTTGGCAAGAAATATAAACGAATATAATTATCGATTTACTAAGAAAAATGTAATAAGTACCATGAACTAGAGGCCTCCATTGTGTACTATCGAATTAAAAAGAAGTTCATCGAGGGATGCATGTTGTATTTCCAAGAAGCTCTTTAAAACATTCCACCGACGTTGGAATGATCTGCGTTGATCTTAATAGGGTAATAATAGCACCATTAACGACAGGCGTTTCACTTAATCTAATTATCCGAGAACTATTGTGAAGAATGATTGTTACCACTTCGTTCTTTTAAACCATGTTCTTCATTTTACTTCGACATATAATTGTAACTGTACTAAGAACTGTACTTATATTCATATACGTAATAATCGTGAGTAAATTCGTTTTCAGCAAAGAAAGGAAAGTAGCAATGCAGATAAAAATTAAAATTTTGTAGTAGCAAAAAATATCACTTCTTCCTTTTTCTTATTTTTATCCGATTTTTCGTTAATAATTAACATTTTTTATTCACTTGGAC